AATGGACCCTGCTCCAGTCTCCTTTGCAGAGGATCCAGGGCAGGATGTCCACCTTGTAGTGCAGCTCTGGAGAGAACTCAGTGCTGATCAGGTTTGGCGCCCCGGCTCCTTTGCCGCGGGTGATCAGCCTCCTCTGGCCGTCGTAGCAGCAGTGCTGCGCCCCCAGCGTGGTGCTGTGGTATGACAGCATGGAGCGAATGCAGAACCGGGCCGATGGTTTGTAGATGTCCAGCCGCTCTGTAGGTCCGCTGGCGTCCCTCCAGCGGTAGGCTCTCTGCAGCCTGGAGTCCTGGACGTTGATGGCGCTGTAGATGACCTCAGAGGGGTAGGAGCAGGGGCAGCTGGGCAGCTCCGTCAGGACCTGGCGGAGGTACTTCTGGAGGAACGCAGTCCTGCAGCTCAGCCACTTTTCACAGCTGTCCACACCTGAAAGGTAAAACACAACCATCTCAGCGGACCTCTAAGAACAGCCTGACAAAACCTGGAAACAGACAAGGTTCCAGTAGAAGCTCACTACTGATTGAAGAGTTGAAGCATCGAGCGCCCAGATCTGGATGTATCCTCACTAAAGCAACGTCCCAAACAATTACAGCTATGGACATTTTTCCATAAATGGATATTTGAAAATAGCAGCAACATCAGACATGTGCAGAATGACAGCAGCAGGTTATTTAACTGCCTAAGATAGAAGCAAAATCAGCATGAATGGAAGAACTGCTTGAGGTTTGGAGACATTTTTAACTGTAATCTGTTACTTTAAACTGAATCTAACACTGAAAGAAGATGCAGGTTTTTTTATGACTCCATGTTATACACTACTCTAAAAAAATGAAAGGAACACTTTGTAATCAGAGTACAGCATCAAGTTAATTAACCTTCTTGGATATTGATTTGGTCCGGTAAGTAGCAGAGGGGGTTGTTAATCAGTTTCATCTGCTTTGTGAACTAGAGGGGCAACAACGAGACGACCATCAGAACAGGAATGGTTTTACAGGTGGAGGCCACTGACATGTTTCCCCTCCTCATCTTTTCTGACTCTTTTTCACCAGTTTAGCATTTGGCTAGGGTCACTGTCACTACTGTTAGCACGAGGCGCTACCTGGACCCTACAGAGGTTGCACAGGCAGTCCAACTCCTCCAGGACGGCGCATCAATACGTGCCATTGCCTGAAGGTTTGCTGCGTCTCCCAGCACAATCTCAAGAGCATTGAGGAGATTCCAGGAGACAGGCAGTTACTCCAGGAGAGCTGGACAGGGCCGCAGAAGGTCTACAACCCATCAGCAGGACCGCTATCTGCTCCTTTGTGCAAGGAGGAGCAGGAGGAGCACTGCCAGAGCCCTACAGAAGGACCTCCAGCAGGCAACTGGTGTGAATGTCTCTGTCCAAACAATCAGAAACAGACTCCACGAGGGTGGCCTGAGGGCCCCACGCCCTCTAGTGGGCGCTGTGCTCACTGCCCGGCACCGTGGAGCTCAATTGGCATTTGCCACAGAACACTGGAATTGGCAAGTCGGCCACTGGCGCCCTGTGCTTTTCACAGATGAGAGCAGGTTCACCCTGAGCACATGTGACAGACGTGAAAGGGTCTGGAGAAGCCGTGGAGAACGTTCTGCTGCCTGTAACATCGTTCAGCATGAGCGGTTTGGTGGGGGGTCAGTGATGGTCTGGGGAGGCATATCCATTGAGGGACGCACAGACCTATACAGGCTAGACAACACCACCCTGACTGCCATTAGGGATCAGGATGAAATGACTGAATACCATTTTTAGTTGCTGCATTGAAATTTCAGGAAAATGGACGAGCCTGCCGCATCATTTTTTCAGTGTCATTTTTGGGTTGTCTTTGAATTCAGCCCTCTGTAGGTTGATCATTTTCATGTCAATCAAATTATGTGGCGTCCTTTGTTCCAAACACATCATCCAGTCCATATCCACCCAGTCTGAGGTACTATTGACATTTCCACCAGATGTCGGTAACAATCCATGCAATCTACACCTCCATAGAAATCAAACCACAGAAATCCAGGAATTAAGTTATTTGGAATAAAGTGGAATGGCCCAGAGGAAAAGTAAACTGAAATCTGTTTAATACTTTGTAGAAAAGCCTTTTTTGGCAATGAAAGCTTCTAAACGCCTCCTGGATGGAGAAATGAGTGGCCTGCATTGATCAGGTGGGATTTTGGCCCATTCCTCCACAAACAGCCTTTAAATCTCGAAGGTTTGGTGTTCATCTTCCATGAACTCTGACCTTTAGATCTTTCCATAGGTTTTCTATTGGATTCCAGTCAGCTGATTGGCTGGGCCATTCTAGCAGCTTTATTTCTCTCTGTGGAACCAGTGGAGAGTTTCCTTGGCTGCGTGTTTTAGGCTCATCGTCTCGCTGAAATGTCCACCAACGTTTCATCTTCTTCATCCTGGTAGATGGCAGCAGATTTTTATCCAGAACGTCTCTCTACATTTTTCCATTCATTCTTCCTTCAATGATTTGAACTTTTCCAGAACCATACGCTGAAAACAGCCCCACAGCATGATGCTCCCACCTCCAAACCTCACTGTTGCTATGGTGTTTATGGGCTGAGGTGCAGTGCCCTTTGACCTCCAAACATGATGTGTATTATGGGATCCAAAGCGTTCAGTGTTGGTCTAATCTGAGCAGACTATATTCTCCCAGTATTTCACAGGCTGCTCTAAATGTTGTTCAGCAAACTTTAAACGACCTTCAGCAGCTTTTCCTTCAGCAGTGGAGTCCGGCGTGGTGAGCGTGCTACAGGCCATGGCGGCTGACTGCTTTACTGACTGTTTTCTTTGAAAAGATTGTTCCTGCTGATTCCAGCACCTGGTCCTGGTGGGTTTATGGTGGAATGATGTTCTTTTCATTGCTGGATTATGGCTCCAACATGCTGGGGAAGATTCCCAGTCATCCAGGTCAGAGTCATTCCAACTTTGTTTCCAAGTTTGAAGACGTTTCTCTTCCCATCCAGGAAGCTTTTTCTATTCCAAATGCCTGGATTAACGTTGAGCTGCATAAAGAGGTGGAGTGAAAACAAATTAGTCCATAATTCTAATCCACAACCTGGACTGCGGTTTAAAAATATCTTAAATCTTAAATCCAGTTCTATCGTGGATGTAATTCATTGCCCACCCCTGATTGAAATGAGTTCAGAATATTTGTCCAACAGGAAGCAACCCTTTAGGTCGGAATCATTTTGGATCAGAACCGCCGGGTCGGGAGGTCAGAGGTTACGGTCTGGGTTCAGCAGTCTGTTTCTTACTGGGGCAGCTGTGCAGGTCACATGTGCGGGATTCAGTCGCCGTGCAGGCGTAGCCGCAGGACCGGGTCCGTCTCTGGGAACCAGAACCACAGGTCACGCTGCACGGAGCCCAGATGCTCCACTCCTCATACTCTGAAGGAAAAACACACGGGGGGAGGGGGGGGTGAAAGCGTGAAGCTCGGGGTAATCTTTGAAGTCAGAGCTGTAAATTCCTCTCCCATCTGGTGCCAGAAAAGTGTCGGTACCGACAGCGTGAGACCTCAGAGACACTCCTCTGTGTTTAAACGGCCCTGCAGTGAGAGTGATGTTGGCTGAGTCAGAGCAAAAACAAAGGGAGTCTGCAGAGGGGGGCGGGGCTTAATGAGGCCTAGAGCTGAAGGGAGATTCCTCTGTTGGTTCTATGGCATCTATGAGGTAAATGCTAAAAATCCTCCTTCTCACATATAAAGCCTTAAATGGCCAAGCTCCATCTGATATCAGAGATCTGATTGTTCCTGATGTTCCTAACAGAGCACTTCGCTCTCAATCTGCAGGTTTACTAGTGGTTCCTAGAACTTCTAAAAGTAGAATGGGAGGCAGATCTTTTAGTTCTCAGGCTCCTCTCCTGTGGAACCAACTACCAGTTTTAGTCCGTGAGGCAGATACCCTGTCTACTTTTAAGGCTAGGCTTAAAACTTTCCTTTTTGATAAAGCTTCTAGTTAGAGTGGCTCAGGTTATCCTGAGCTATCTCTATAGTTCTGCTGCTATAAGCTTAGACTGCTGGAGGACATAGGGACCCCTTTTTCATCATTCTGCTTCATTCTATCTCTATTCTCCCACTCTGCAGAATCTGTTAGTTCAATCTCTAACGTTCTGCTCTCTCTGCTTTTTCTCATAGTAGCTTCATCTGGTCTGTTCCTGTTTGGCTGTGACTCCATCCTGGAGAGAAATATCAGCTGTGCTGCTGCCATCAACACCTTTGTTTCTAGATGTTGGAGCTTGGCCTGTTTTCCAGTGTAGTCCTGTTTCTCTGACTGTGACTAACTGGATGTGCTCTCTTCATCCTCTGACATGGGAGCTGGCTCGGAGCTCGTCTGCCTGGCTGTGTGTTTCCTGGACGGGGCCGCCTGTGGAGCTGGTTGACAGTTGCCTTTTGTATCTATGCTTCTTTTTCTATGTCTGCTTCTGTCTCCTTGAACCCCAGTGGGCCTCAGCAGATGGCCGCTCACACTGAGCCTGGTTCTGCTGGAGGTTTCTTCCTGTTCAAAGGGAGTTTTTCCTCTCCACTGTCGCTACAAGCATGCTTAGTGTGAGGGATTGCTGAAGAGTCAATGAGTCGATGCAATCAGCTGGTTTTCCTTAAAACTTTGAATCAATCTGACTGGATGATCTGGTGAACTGGAAAGTGATCTGAGATGACATGATGTGAATTGGAGCTATAGAAATAAACTGAATAGAATTGAAGGACCAGCTGGGTTTCATTATAGCCCGGTCTGCGTGCCCCCCCCCCATGTCTTACCGTATGCATCCTTTGCCTCCCAGCCCCTCCCCCAGTCTGAGCTCACTCCCCTGAGGTCGGGGTCCGCTGGATCATAGTTGTAGTCCGCAGACTGTCCTTCAGAGGCGGTTGCTCTCAGCCTGTTCTCCAGCTGTTCCGGGTACTCCCAAAACAGAGGCCAGAACAGTTTCCTGTGACTGTTGATCCACTCGGAGGACGAAAAAGACCAATCATTCCTCTGGTTCTCCTTTGCCAGGTCTATCTCCACCTCTGTCTCTGTCTGGGAGTCCTCCACCACCTCAATGGTCACCTGGAAGAAGCAAAGATTCCTCGGTTTTACCCACCAACCTGCAGCTAGCGGCCATTCTGCATCATCCAATCCGATGTGACCCTTTAGGAATCACAATGTTTTTTTTTGAGTAAAGCTGTTTTGTTCATCGTTGGATTGGTGACGTATTTTGGATCGGGGCACAAAAAGCTTCCCCCATCCATTCTGGTTAAAAGTTGTTCAGGCGCAGCAGCTTCTCTTCAATGCTAAAGGATAGGAGAGCTCTGGGCGCACCAAAGCTCCACCCTGAGGTGACAGGAAGTGACGTCACAGTCGTAGTGCTGGTGTTTGACAGGCCGAGTCGCAGGAGGGAAGCAAACTCACCAAGAGAAGCTGGAGGTGAAACTGTTTGGACCTGATCAGCCGAACATCAACATTAATCATCAAACCAAAGACATATGGAGACGGTTCAATCGGTTCTTTTCCAGGACCTGGTTTAGCTCCAAGGCTAGGCTAACTACCTGCAGCGAGGCTAACTGCATGCAGCGAAGCTAAATGCCTGCAGCGAGGCTAACTACCTGCATCGAAGCTAAATGCATGCAGCGAGGCTAACTGCCTGCAGCAAAGCTAACTGCATGCAGCGAAGCTAAATGCCTGCAGCGAAGCTAAATGCCTGCAGCGAGGCTAACTGCCTGCAGCAAAGCTAACTGCATGCAGCAAGGCTAACTGCATGCAGCGAGGCTAACTGCATGCAGCGAGGCTAACTACCTGCAGCGAGGCTAACTACCTGCAGCGAAGCTAAATGCCTGCAGCGAGGCTAACTGCCTGCAGCGAGGCTAACTGCATGCAGCGAGGCTATCTACCTGCAGCAAAGCTAAATGCCTGCAGTGAAGCTAAATGCCTGCAGCGACGCTAAATGCCTGCAGCGAGGCTAACTGCATGCAGCGAGGCTAACTACCTGCAGCAAAGCTAAATGCCTGCAGCGAAGCTAAATGCCTGCAGCGAGGCTAACTGCATGCAGCGAGGCTAACTACCTGCAGCGAAGCTAAATGCCTGCAGCGAGGCTAACTGCATGCAGCAAGGCTAACTGCTTGCAGCGAGGCTAACTGCATGCAGCGAGGCTAACTACCTGCAGCGAAGCTAAATGCCTGCAGCGAGGCTAACTGCCTGCAGCGAGGCTAACTGCTTGCAGCAAGGCTAACTGCATGCAGCGAGGCTAACTACCTGCAGCGAAGCTAAATGCCTGCAGTGAGGCTAACTGCATGCAGCGAGGCTAACTACCTGCAGCGAAGCTAAATGCCTGCAGCGAGGCTAACTGCCTGCAGCGAAGCTAAATGCCTGCAGCGAGGCTAACTACCTGCTGCGAAGCTAAATGCCTGCAGCGAGGCTAACTGCCTGCAGCGAAGCTAAATGCCTGCAGCGAGGCTAACTGCCTGCAGCGAAGCTAAATGCCTGCAGCGAGGTTAACTGCCTGCAGCGAAGCTAAATGCCTGCAGCGAGGCTAACTGCATGCAGTGAGGCTAACTGCATGCAGCGAGGTTAACTGCTCGCAGCAAAGCTAACTGCATGCAGAACTAGGTCTATTAGAAAACACACTGAACTGAATAAATATGCCGCCCAGCTTAAAGCTGAGATGGAGGTAGATAGAACAGCCTATATAGTACAGATGTTCTCCTTGTTTCTACCTTCCTCATACCTAGAGCTATCTCTATAGTTCTGCTGCTATAGGCTTAGACTGCTGGAGGACATAGGGACCCCTTTTTCATCATTCTGCTTCATTCTATCTCTATTCTCCCACTCTGCAGAATCTGTTAGTTCAATCTCTAACGTTCTGCTCTCTCTGCTTTTTCTCATAGTAGCTTCATCTGGTCTGTTCCTGTTTGGCTGTGACTCCATCCTGGAAAGAAATATCAGCTGTGCTGCTGCCATCAACACCTTTGTTTCTAGATGTTGGAGCTTGGCCTGTTTTTCAGTGTTTAGTCCCGTTTCTCCCCTACAGCTATGGGCTGAGCTTTTACTGGGACTAACTGGAGCTGCTCTCTTTCATCCTCTGGCATGAAAACTGAAACATCGGATTAACTGTTTCTTTCCAAGACAATGAGGCTAATTTACCGTTAGCTTTTCTGACATAGAAACCATTTATAGATCTGTCACTAAATGAGGACTGTGTCGTTCAGCAGTTTGTTTTTGATTGATTTTGAATTAAGGATAAATGTTTTGTCCCCTGAATGCTCCCAGCCGGCCCCAGTCATCTGCGTCTTAGTTTCCACTAAATGGAGCTTAGATCAGAACCAAGCAGAGTGGAGCTCCGTTGTTCTGAAGGCGTTTCTGCAGCAGGAGTCTCTGTTTCCTGAATCTGAAGCCTTGGCTGCATCTGGGTGTTTTTCCAGAGCGGCTCACATTCCTCCACCTCAGAGCGGATGAGGGCAGCCATGGCGAGGCCTCAGGTACGTTCGCCTCCATGAGATCAGATTAAAGACGAACCTCATGAAAGACGCTCATTGTGCTGCAGGAGCTGCAGAGATGAACCGATAGCAGCTGCTGAACGTCTCTTTGTCTAACAGGTCCGAGTCGTCTCCAGCTGCTCATCTTCACTGAGGAAGGATTCAGTCCATGTCTTCCAGCAGCGGTTCTGTAATCTAGAAGGTCAGTGGTTCTTCAGACCATCTGGTTTGGGCTGGATTCTGCTGGAGGCTTTAAGCTAGCAGTGTGGTTGGACGTACATTGGACGCTCTGTCCTGAAATATTAAAAATATTAAAAATTTTCACCTGGAAAATTTGCCTTCCTAGTCTCACATAATTAACCTGACAACAGCCAGATGCATGTCTCGCTCCGCCTAGCTCCACTCACATACATCTGGGAACCCGCTCATTGAAAGTGATTTCCCCAACCGAATTTATGGTCTGTCCAATCAGGACGCAGGGTGGGTGTGTCCTGGAGTGGAGAAGCAACCGTGAGATTCCAACAACAATGGCGGCTCGCATTGAGGAAGCAAGCGTTAGCATTGATGCTGCTATTTCTTCTGTGTTGTCCAATCTATCTGATATTGTTTCATTAAAAGAACATCAGAGAACGGCTTTGAAGGCTTTTGTTGGTGGAAACGATGTTTTCGCCCTTCTCCCGACCGGATTTGGCAAGAGCTTGATCTACCAAATGGCTCCTCCTCTCACAGCGTCACGGGTTAGCTTCGGTGTGAGTGGTTGAAATAGCACGTCAATAAAGATGACAGACAAGTGGCTTATCCAATCATATGCATGAGTTTTGATAAGGCCCAGCCTCCAGTAAAGGCAATTCCTATGGCGGGTTCCCAGATGTATGTGAGCGGAGCTAGGCGGAGTGAAACATGCATCTGGCTGTTGTCAGCTTATCACATAATCTCACATCTCGAGAACCATCGAGAGCGGAGAGCGCTGCATGTCCCGAGCCCGTGACATCATCAATGACCCCTCACCCCCCACCATGGACTGTTCTCCCTGCTGCCCTCTGGGAAGAGGCTTCCCAGCATTCAATGCAGGACCAGCAGGTTCTGCAGCAGCTTCTTCCCCACCGCCATCACACTGATGACACCAAACCAACACACTGCAGATTTGCTCCATAAATATTAAAGCTCTGAATTTAAGATCAATGAGAGCTGGACTGAACAAAATGTGTTTTGTAAACACTATGTACAAAACATTTGTTATTGGTCAGATGTAGGAGTGACACAGCACGGAGGCGCGCTGTTAGTGGTGGAATATCTAACGTCCCTATCTAACTATAATATAACCTATATCTAACAGCTTCATTGGCGGGAAAAAGCACGCTGCGAAGTTTGCAAACCAGGAAACTTTGAAAAGTTTACGAAAACTCATTGAATGCCCGATAAATGTAGGATTATTTTGGAGGTTTTTTATTTTTTTGGCACGATACTGTCGGTGGAAACGGAAAAACAACAGCTAACGTGAATGACAGCTGTCAAACACACAAACTTCCCATGATCAGGTCCGGAATGTTGGAACTTTATTCCACCTCAACAAGCAGGAAATGTCGTCTCAGAGACTTTTAGGCCTAAAGACGCGATGCGGTGGACACACTATGATACATTCCTCGCTAAAAGCCTGTTCTGTTGGCGTCCATTTTTACTGACCCAGTCCTCCGTCCCAAAGTCCAGCTCAGTTCTGGTTCCGGTTGGTCTCTGCTGTCATGGAATCTAGTTCCTCATCCGGTTCCGTTTGGTTCAGATCTGCTCTTGGGTTTTAGGAACGTTCCTCAGTCTCTGAGCCCCCTGCTCTCAGCAGGAGTCTGACCTTCACCGCTGAGCAGGAGATCAGGACCACAGCGGGCCTGGGAGCCAGAACTGGACCCGACGGTCAGAACCGGATCTGATGGCGGGAACCGGACCTGTTGGTCAGAACCGGACCTGACGGCAAACTGGACCCAATGGTCAGAACCGGAACTGACGCCAGAACTGGACCCGATGGCCGGAACTGGATCTGTTGGCCAGAACTGGTCCTGACGCCAAACTGGATCCGATGGTGAGAACCGGACCCGACAGCCGGACCCGGACCCGATGGTCAGAACCAGACCAGACAGCCAGAGCCGGATCTGACGGCCAGAGCTGAAGCAGCTGAATAAACACAGAGAGGAGTTCTTACCTGGATGTTGGGGTTTTGAGAGCCCACGTCTGCGTTGGCCAGATCAGGGAAGTTCCTCAGGTCCAGGATGAAGCCTCCTGGCTCCTCTTCAGTTTCAGCTGCTGGGAGGCGGTCCTGGAACCGGGGGCGACTGGATGAGGAAGGAGGTGGAGGAGGAAGGTTCTCCTGCAGAAGATGCTCCAGATCTACATGATCCTGTGCTCCAGCAGCTTTGCCCTAAAAAAACGACAGATTGGTTCAGTTGGACCCAGATAGCAGCGGCTCAAAGGAGGAGGGACCAGAATGAGGGAGGAGGTCATGCTCTGCAGCTTCGGTTCATGGAGCAAACATGTTCCTCAGCAGAACCAGAGGAACTGGATCACCTCTAAAGATGTTCTGGATTCAGATGGGACCCAATCAGAAGTTCTGACAGAACAGAAAGAACCTTCCGGATTCCAAAGATCAGCAGCGAGGAGTTTAGATGGAGGAGAAGGAGGCCTCAGTCCTGCCCAGCAGCTCCCACATCAGGTTTCTGTACTTTGACTAAACAGCGACTCCTGGAACACTGGTCAGATATGTCACTTCCTGTCAGCTGGATGCGGCTGACTTCATCCTCCTCCTCTTCCTCTTAAAGCCAGCAGCTGGTAGGAGGCGGCTTGGCTCCATTTTTACCAGAACTAAAACCTTAACTGGAAGGAAAAGAGGATCATCTGTCATGATTCAGCACTGATATTCAGTCTGATTACTCATTTTATTCTCACTTAGCTCCGCCCACTTCTCATTCCCGTTCATCTGATCCACCTGCTTCAGCCTCTATTTAACCAGCATTCAACCAGTCATCAGTGCCAGATTATATGAGCCTTTGGGAAGAGTTCTCCCGTGTTCCTCAGTGTTTCTGATTGCCTGATCCTGACCCATTCTGCCTCTG